GAGTTCTCTGGCACATCATTGTTTAAGTCTAAGAAGGGTGTGTGTCAATCTACTCCTGACTAGTGACTAATCCAAAAATGTCAAAGTGTATCTTTTCTTCTCATCTGGCAAATTCTTGTTTTTGTAAGCCGTTGAGATCTGTTTGGTAGTTTTGTCAACTAATAGCCAAAGGGGGAGATTGTAAGTGTAAAAATGTTGCACATTAAACCTCTTAATATTGGCTTGAGTTAGTTGCCAAAATAGTTACTGGATTAGTCATAACGTCTGGAGCAGTTGACTGGATCAGTGCAAGAAAGTAATCCAAGAGATGTAAAACCTCTTCAAATCTTTTATTTAGTCAAGACCCTATCTTGGAGGAGATCTGAATCAATAGGAGCAACCGAAATCAAGGAAGGAAAGAATGCATGATTTGTGGATCGAATAAACTTCTCATTACCTATATAAAATGCTACGTTGGTTAGCATTTTGATTACACACTTTTACAAGCCTTTGTACTGAGATTCTTCATCTACTTATACTGGTTATATTCTGTATTGCTGAGTATGGGGAAGGGTTCTTAACAAGATCACGAAGTAACGAAGATCGCCTGCACATCGAATCCGCTGGAGTAGGTTCTGGAGTAGTTATAGGTTATACTTTAGTGCGTAATTAACTCTCCTCTTGTACTCCTGTTTATCATAGTGGATTTGGGTTGATATGAGTGGCCCCGCAGACGTAGGAGTGAGGCTCCGAACTGCGTGAACATTTCCTGGTGCACAGTTTCCTTTATTGCTTTCGTTTTTATGTTCGTTATTATACCTGGAGTAGTTCTGGAACTTGTCTAATTGAAATAAAATTAATTAGGAACCCTAGGTTATTTCTTGCATTCAAGATCCACGTGTTTTTTTTTATCAATACTTGGCAAGCAAGCTTGGAGATTAATAAGCAAGCCCACATCTTTGGTAGCGAGGGTATACAAGGCCCGATATTATCCTAATGGTTCCTAGTTTGATGCAGTAGCTGGTAGTAATCTTTCTTTCATTTGGAAGGGCGTGTTAGAGGTTCAAAATGTGTTACAAGATGGTTGCAGACGCAAAATAGGAAATGGCCTTGATACATGTGTGGGAAGCATGCATGGCTACCTATCGAGGATGAACCGTACATCCAAACTCCCTTGCCTGAAGCAGAGTATAATGCCCCAGTAGCAACCCTCTTTAATTCACAAGGTACGTGATGAAATGTGACTCGCATTATGAATACTTTTGATAGTAGAGATGCTACTTTGATTTTAAATATTCCCATTTCTGTGCGCTAACCAAATGATTCATGGTATTGGTTTTGGGATATGAAAGGTGATTACACTGTCAAATCGTGCTACAAACGATTGACGGGTTTATCGCACGATGCTAGACCATGGTCACGTATTTGGAATATTGATGTTCCGCCAAAAGTTAAGCAGTTTTGCTGGCAGTTGGCCTCTTCCTTCCTACCAACTAGAGATGCCCTTCACTCAAAAAAATTCATTGTTCATTAGTTTGTCATATGTCCAGGAGAAACCCCGAAAGTGCTTGCCATATTTTTGCCCACTGTACCGAGGCTGCGAAAATTTGGAATGTGATTGGCTTACCTATGGCTAATACAACTTACGGTAATGTCATTGATTGGTTTTTTGGAAGGGAGTTGCTTTTGACGTGAATATGACAGTGCGACGAGCCATCACTTTTTGGGAGAACTGGAAACATGCGAATGCTACTGAGTGTGCAGGAGGTTATTCTGGTGGTAATGAACATTGGGTAAGGCCGAATCTAGGGAGGATAAAGTTGAATACGGATGCATCACTGGATGTACAAAATAATGCTATGGGGTTGGGATGGGTCTTACGTGACGATCAAGGAGAGTTTATGGCAGCAAAAAACATGCGTATGACTGGGACTCTTAACGTCAATGAAGTCGAGGCAATGTGTATGAGAGAGGCTCTTAGCTAGTTAAAAGATACTGGTATGGGTAGCGTTGATGTGGAAACGGACTCTCCAACTCTTTTTCGTTCCCTTTCCTCTTCTTCAATTCTTGTTTGTTAAGCGATCTGCGAATTGCGCTGCCCACACTGTTGCTAGGGAGGCCTTTTTTGAGTCAGGTTGTGGGGAGTGGTTTGATGCCCCTCCCTTTTTCCTTGTAAACTGCCTTACTCGTGATTTAATGCAATCTTTTGTCTTCAACAAAAATAATATAAATTATTACTGAAGTATAACTCGGAGCTACACTAGTATTTTATAAAACCATTGTTTATTTATATATTGATTTGACCTCCAATCTCCAAGAGTAATCAACCCAGATGCTGCAGTGTTCGACTTAGAACCGATTTCCATTATTTCATTTCCCAGCATGCATGGTCGGAGGGATATTGTACTCCAAAATATTATTGATGTTAGTTGGATATCCTGTTGTATCATCACCTCAATATTATTATTACTTTAAACCCCTATCAGAGTGATATTTTCAAATTTATTTCTTAGATTAACAATTTGATCACGTTTTCTCTAATTTTAATTTCAAGTTATATTTAATTTTTCCTTGCTAATTTTGTCTCGCCTTAATTAGTGAAATTTAAGGGTTTAAAGGTATATTGTTAATTTGTCAACAGCCAAATTAAGACCCTAAATCCTTAATAAGTTGTCTAAATCCATTGAAAACAGTTTCTATAGAGTTAAAAAAAAAAAAAAAAATAATAATAATAATAATAATAATAATAATAATAATAAAAAATAATAATAATAATAATAGTAACAAAAGAAGTTTATGGAGAGATAGTAGCCACTAGCCAATGACTAAAATATGATCAAATTATTAGTTTATCACGTACTAAATTTGAACACATTATCATTGGATCATAATTATTAACTCTTTACAACTATGACACTGTATGGTCTAAAAAAACAGACCCTACGACTGTTATGTATGCAGGAATCTGGCCTCGAACCTCATGCAATGGCAGAGACATGGTGGTCATCATGATGAGAGGGGTATGCAGATGTACCATGCTTACTTTTCAGTAGGTCACCATCGGCAGAAATTATTTGATTATTATATCTGTTTTAAAACCAATTAGTAATAAGTAAGTGAACATTAATCATTTAAATACATTCTTTCATGGTAAACCACAAACGCCACGTCTCGAATCGAACAAAGACTGAACTCGGCCAACGCCCAACACATCCTCCCACTATGCATGATGCATTCATGTGCTAACTTTCTGAAATGATCAAATGAAGATGGAGAGAATCCCCTTTTTCCTCAAAACAATTAGCTGCAATTCTAAGCCACTAGTCCAGAGAATACAAGAATCTTGGATGGTCTTAAATCTTAATTATATGTGATGATGAAAATGCAAGTTGAGTGTAAAGCTACTTGCCTTTCCCTATACAAAAGCTAGCAGATCAGATGCCAGAAAAGCATATAATTTCATACCAAATAAAAAGGTGATTGTTTCAACTTGGAGAAACCTGACCACCATATTCTGTCTCCTACCATACAATTGTTTCTTGGGAGACATTTACAACAAAGGCAAAAACTTCCCATGCAACCATAAAACTAACCAAAAAAAAAAAACGACGATTCACATCTTTCTACACTAATCTAGCCCTAAAAGAAAGGTTTTTACGAGGCGTAAACCAACCATGAACAAGATTTTTTCTACACGAAAGCAGAGAAAATAAATAAGCACTCCAATGGTCATGGGCATTTCTCGTTTCTCCCAGGACCTCCATAGTAAAAGTAATTTCCCCAGTCACCATTGTTTCCGAGCTGCACAGTATAGCAGTTGTCGTCCTCGGTGTAAATACCGACATCTTGGGGAGGCCTCAAGTTATTAGACCCGTCCACGACTTGTATGTTTCTGAAATAACTAGCCTTGCCAAACCCTTCACCGGGGAAGTGGCCACTGCCCATTTGCGTGGTAGTGTGCATCCCATCGTTCTCCGAATTCACCACCTCCCCGCCCCACTCAACCATGGAAGCACTGTCTTGAAGGTTCGAAAATAGGAATCCAGGCCAGTAACCCAGAACATAGTTATTCCCAAACTGCATCCACCAGTTACCCTCTTTCGGGTCCTGTAAAATTAACTCACAATTTATTAATGTATCATACTAAGTTAAATCGTATTATCAAACCACCTGAAAATGATCTTAAATCAAGTCGAAAGCCTTGTTCCGACCACTTTTGGTATCCGGAAAAACCTTTGTTGCTATTTCCGACCACTTTTGGCTTTCGACTTGATATAAGATCACTTTCAGGTGGTCGGAAATTCCATAATTTTCAGCAGTTATATATTGATGCTTATGAAACAAATGGCAAAAATTACTACAAGAATAAAGACAAAGAAAAAGATTAGCATACAGTCAAGAACACATGTCAAAGATTCCCTTTGTTTCCAATAATATATTCTTTTATTATTCAGTTACACCCAAATTACACCCAACAAAAGAGTCCAAGATTCATAGTTTAATGAAAGAAACTTAAGAAATTACCTTCCAGACAAGAATGCTGATATCATATTGGGAACCTTGATAGCTGGAAAGGGGGAAGATGGTGGCCCCCATGGCTATTTCATTATTGATTTGAATAAAGCCTGTGCATAGCAGATTGTAGCACCCCGTGGCTTGATAGGCATCGCTCTGTCAATATTTGTCGAAATCAAAACTCGTATTATTGTATGTATTGCTAGCTCAATGAAGAAGAAGAAGAAGAAGAAGTGTAAACATACAGTCCAATAGGTGAAGAGTCTCGTGTTGTGATCACCATACAAATCTGGGCTAACCTGTTCATTAAACATGAGATTGTTAAAGGATAGAGGATTAAAACGGTAAAATTAGCTATAAAAGTTTATCCCACTAGCAACTCTAAATGCAACTTTTTTTACACATGCCAGCAGTACAATAATGTTTCTCTGCAAGTCACGGGTAAAATCAGTATCACATTTGAATTATTGGAAAGCACTTACCATTCCTGGGGTATAGCTTGAAAAGATCTAAATGAGGACATGGAGTTAATTTATTGGCTAATCATTCTTTTTAAGTAGTAAAAATGGGGGTAATGTACAATTACCGGACAATAAATAAATCTGAATTTTACTGTCTTTATCTCAATGAAAATTAAAGAAAGGAGGAAGGAGGGGTAACTCCAACCAAGATGGAGGATACAAACTTGTAACCACGAGGTTACAAGTTCAAATCTCCGCCCTCTTGGTTTGAATCAGTCTGCTATGGGTAACCTCGACTGGTTTACCTCCTTGTGGTCCTTTGCCGACTAGTGTCACCAAGACAGGATTTACTCAGTGCACACCCTCAGTAATGGCTGCGGGTTTCCCTCCTCACCCAAAAAGAAAGGAGGATGGGTAACCCCAACCATGAGAATACAAACTTGTAACCATGAGGTCTCGAGTTCAAATCCTAGCCCTCTTAGTTTGAATCAGTCTGCTATGGTCATAAAGCGGGGCACACTTTCGGTACCTAGAGCTGGTTTACCTTCTTGTGGACTTTTGCCAGCTAAAGAGTCACTACTTAGGCTGGTTTACCTCTTTGGGGTCCCGAGAAGAAAAGGAAGGAGGAAGGAACTACCTGCCAACCAGCTTCAATGCTGTTGAGATCTGAATTGAAATCACCTCCCAGAATCCAAAGCTGAGACAAACTGAACTCATTAGATTGCTGGATTTTAGGCTCCCAAACGTTTATTGTGGCTTTTGCACCATAGTATTGCCCTCCTTCAACATAGGCTATTGCATGCTAAGAACTCCAAGAAAACAAAAGCCCAAGAGGAAAAAATTAATTTCAAGAAATTCAAAGAGGGTAGTAGATACTAGCCACCAATTTCACTTCTATCCCTTTCATTTTAGTCAATTTTGGTTGGGATATAATAAGGTGGAATGAAGTACCTGATGACCATTTTGAGAAATCAAGTCAGGCTCAGCAGACCTGGGTTTAGGAACACTTTTAATATGCTTCTTTCCATAGCTCTTTATAGAGCTGGCTCTCAAAAGGTCTTCTTCTTTTGTCCTTCTAATAGGAATAGTTCCTTCTGGGCACTTCCCACTCAAATGCCAAAGCTGAGGAATTGGGCTTGACCCATCACTCCCAGACTTCAATGTGGAGGAGAACTTCCCATCCTTAAACAGCCCTTCTGGATGATAACTTGGCCTCATCTACCACAAACAAAAACCCTTTATAAAAATTTGGAAAACAAAAATAGAAGAATTGTTCTTGTTCTTGTTCTGTTCTGAGGGGATGGATTGAGAGAACTGAAGGGTACCTGAACTGTATGGTTCTTGAAAGAAGGATGCTCAAAAGATGGTTGGTGAGATACATGAACACAATCAATAATATCACCATCTGGGCTCTGTTTTTTGGGGCCAAACAAAAACAAGAAAAGGAAAAACCACCATAACTACACGCATATATACATATAGAGAAAGATAGATAGGTAAAGAGAGAGGAAGAGGGAAACCTTTATGGACTTGACAGCAGGCTTGTTCAAACGATTCAAGTGTTTCTGCACCTCAAGCTTTTGAGTAACCATGCTCTCCTTTCTGACAGCACCAGAAAGCGAAATCAGGAATAGCAAAACCAAAAAGGCGCTCATTTCCACATTGAAATTCATAGTTGCCTCTTCTTTTTTTTTCTCTTGAAACCTCAAAGGTCTCAACTTTCAGCTCAGCTGATTATTATTTTTTAAAAAACAAAAAACAAAAGAAAGAAAGAAAGAATGCAAAGAATATGAAGAACTGAACAGGGAGGAGTGGAAACAAAAAGAGCAGAAAAATCCAAGATAATCTGCCGACGCTCCTCGTGAAGAGGTAGATGATGGGTAGAATAGGAAAGAAACGGAATGCAGAGAGGCGCGAAGTGTTGGGCGGTAGGGGGTGGGGTGGGGGTCGAAGTGGTGTCGGTTTGCTTTCCATCTTCTCCATTTAACAGCTGCATTTCTTTGTCTTTTTGGTCACACTCTGCTTACTATGGTGTTTGTGGACCTGCGATGTGTTTTACTCTTCTTCTCCTCTTCACACACTTTTTTTTTTTTTTTCAAAATTAAATAATTTGAAGAAAAAAAACTAAAGAAATTTCCTTCAAAAAAACTAAAGAAATAATTGCGCCTTTTCATTGATTATGATTGCCCTTTGTTTGGTAAATTTTGCGCTACTTTCAATGTATTATTATCAAGTCAAATAAATAAATTATAGGCAATAATTTCGTATTTTCAGAAGTAAAAAGTCTTGAAAAGGGTTTTCAAAAAAAAAAAAAAACTCTTGAAAGTCAAATAAATATTAATTATAGGAAAATGTTAATATTGTAAATAAAAATGTTACATTTTCTAAACTAAAAAGAGATAAAGATCTACTTAAAAAAAAAAAAAAAAAAAAAAAAAAAAAGAAGAAGAAGAAGAAGAAGAAGAAGAAGAAGAAGAAGAGAGAGATATAAATATATGAATTGTATAAGCGATTAACTTGTATTACCTTTTATTTTAAAGAAGGGAAATGCTTCTTACTCATTGATAGGTAAATACGCACTAAGACTACTTGTTGGGTTGCCTAACAAGAGTGTCACTCGGTCGGTCCTCCAGAACCACCCGGTCAGCCAGATCCCAGTCGTTCACAGCTGGTTGCATCACTCATTTTGAAGATTAGAAAGCCTAGTGATGGGTAAAGACGCTCTAAGATTACCTGTGAAGTCGACGGGCAGAGTGCCACCCGGTCGGTTTGCTACGTGACCCATGCACTTTGCAAGATGGAGAGCTTAGCGTACATCACAAGCAAAAGAAGACCCCCCCCCCCCCCCCCCCCTTGCACTTGCAGGAAGGGCGACTATGACGTGCGAGACCCCTTGCACTTGCAGGAAGGGCGGCTATGATGTGCGAGAAGGATGACTCTATCACCTAGGATAATCAATTTATGCATAACTATAGAGCAATCGACTGACTAGACCAACAAGAGCATGTCACGTCAAGCCTGACTAGACCAACGAGAACATGTCACGCCAAGCCACTTGCGTTTAAGCATTAAATGTCTAACTGAGTTTCCTTAGTATAAATAAGAAGGTCTTCCCTTCAATTGTCATATTCACTACATTGTAACATTACATCACTTGTAATATGTATTCGTAGCGTAGTTATGACCTCATGTCTAATTTAGACTATCACTCGTAACGTAGTCATGACCCCAGTTCTAATTTAATTTATCTGTAATATGTGTTCGTAGCGTAGTCATGACCCCAGGCCTAATTTACACGTGCGTATTTACCCATCAATAACGGTTGTAAACATTATATTGTAACCTTAGGTTTTATTTTTTGTTTATCGTAGGGGTTACGAATTCTTTTTTGAATGCTAGACTATATTACATTGTAGTATCTGTAGTGCTTTGCTTTCACTACCTAATGAAGCACAATGAGTCAACAACGCTTTCCTCGATCTCATGACCTCCCACATACAAGAGGTCACTACATGACATCTGAGCACAAGAGTTACGAATTTAATTTGTAAAATTCCATTAATGCTAATAAATTTCATTTGCTCCTATAAAAACCTGCATTGGGGAGAATGCTAAGATGCTTATTTTTTAACTTCCAAAATCTTGATTTTCCTCTCTCTCATTATTTTCTTCGAAACATTTTGCCAACACTTCAATTAAATTTGCGAAGTGCTCACTTGTTGTATAAGTTCGTCTAAAGTATTATATTTGAGTGCTCAAATATGATATTGTAATCAATTCTATCCTAAGAGATTGATATTACAACGCTCCTAGCACCGCCACGGGGGGCAGCAAATAGAATTCAAGGAGAGTGTGTAGTACACACGACTTGAATTTCTATTTGGGATTATTTTCTCATAAATTAAAATCTCATTGTCTTTATTTTATTATAAATTATTTAATCTTATCACGAATTTTAAAAAATAAATTTAATTAATTATAAAAAAAATATAATCAAGTACAGTAATGCTTGAAGTAAATATATATCTACTACTAATCTACTACTAATAAATATATAATAATAATAATAATAATAATAATAATAATAATAATAATAATAATAATGATAAGGTTGTAACAGAAATAACAATTATGTTGGTATAATAATGTTAATTAATGACTTGTACATTTTGATTTATTCTTTGTACAATGACAAAATATTTTAAAAGCTATAATCTTTCACTTTTTCCTTCTTATTTATGTACAAATTTTAGTACAATGAAATATTTCAATAAATATTTCAACGGGTTCAGGTGTGGGTATAGCTTCCCGTGCGATTGACGCACCTTAAGCATTAAAATGGCGCACCTTAAGTACACAAACCACGCACCTTAAGAACACAAATCACGCACCTAAGGTTTTAAAATGGCGCACCTTAAGTTTCAACAACTCACGCACCTTAAGCATGCAAATCACGCACATTAAGAATGAAAACAACACACCTTAAGAAGGAAAATCACGCACCTTAAGCTTCAGGTTGACATACCTTAAGTTTCAACAACTACTCAATTTAAGCACAAAACCCACGCAACATAAACACAAACACACGCACCTTAAGCACAAAAATCATGCACCTTAAGTTTCAACAACTACTCACATTAAGCACAAAACTCATGCACCTTAAGTACAAAACTCACGCACCTTAAGCACAAAACCGATGCACCTTAAGCACAAAAACCACGCACCTTAAGTTTCAACAACTACTTACATTAAGCACACAACCCACGCACCTTAAGCACAAACTCACGCACCTTAAGCACAAAACACACGCACCTTAAGCACAAAACTCACGCACCTTAAGAAGGAAAACCACGCACCTTAAATTTGACCTAGATGCAAAAATTACCAAATTACCACCGTATTTTTTATATATATAATTTTGGTAATCCTGGACGTTGACCTAGTTTCAACAACTACTCAATTTAAGCACAAAACCCACGCAATATAAGCACAAACCCACGCACCTTAAGCACAAAAATCACGCACCTTAAGTTTCAACAACTACTCACATTAAGCACAAAACTCACGCACCTTAAGTACAAAACTCACGCACTTTAAGCACAAAACCGATGCACCTTAAGCACAAAAACCACGCACCTTAAGTTTCAACAACTACTCACATTAAGCACACAACCCACGCACTTAAGCACAAACTCACGCACCTTAAGCACAAAACACACGCACCTTAAGCACAAAACTCACGCACCTTAAGAAGGAAAACCACGCACCTTAAATTTGACCTAGATGCAAAAATTACCAAATTACCACCGTATTTTTTATATATATAATTTTGGTAATCCTGGACGTTGACCTAGTTTCAACAACTACTCAATATAAGCACAAAACCCACGCAATATAAGCACAAACCCACGCACCTTAAGCACAAAAATCACGCACCTTAAGTTTCAACAACTACTCACATTAAACACAAAACTCACGCACCTTAAGTACAAAACTCACGCACTTTAAGCACAAAACCGATGCACCTTAAGCACAAAAACCACGCACCTTAAGTTTCAACAACTACTCACATTAAGCACACAACTCA